TTTTTTTTTTCACCAAAAGCGTCGCTATGTACAGACTACATAGACGAAAGAAAAAAAGAAAACAAAAAGGAGAAAGAAAGAAAACGAATAGAAAGTACATCACTACACTGAGTTCGTTAGCCTCGAAGCGGATTGATCTCGTGTTTGGTTTTCGTTCAACGAAGAAACGTTTCCATCCAAAACGTGGTTATCGTTTCTCGATGCCTCGCCTCGATTTACACGCGATGGTCACTCGTCTCTTTTTTTTTTGGTCTTCGCGTAAATTGCACACGTCCGCTCTATTTTTTTTTTTTTTCTCTCTCTCGATCTAGTCAACGCACCATCAATTACAACATTCTTTGCCACTTTACGTTACCCGTAGGCTACAGGCTTTAGAAAATGTTCCCTGTCCTGTTTCGTTACCCGACAGCAAGAATTTCATTCGCAGCAGACTCTCTCGGCAGAATTTCATAAACCACCAAACCGCAGGGTTTTCAAAATCTTCGCGCTTGTTCGTTTCTCTGTTCTCTCGTCCGTTTCCCCTTTCATAAAACTTCGAAATGTTTGTCGAAAAACTGATGCTCGTCGCTTGCCACGATTTTCCTCGGAGCGATTGACTGTTCGTTCCCCGTTCCTCTCGAGATGATTACCACCGATTCGTCGTCCTTGTCGTATCACGCCGGCGAGAATGGTCGATGAATCTGCGGTGGTTTCGGATTCGGTGGAGGTGATGTCGCGACCCTTATCAATCCCTGGCCTTGAGACTGACCCTGAGGAGTCTGTTGCCCGACCGTTGGACTACCTCGCGAGGAAGGTGTATGAGGACTCGGTACCGCGACCCTTAACGGACCCGTCACCGACAGGTTCGTCGCCATTAATGGCGGGCTGTGCGCTTCCGATAGGCTGTCTGACAGGCGCGAGATTCCACCATCGGAGAGACGCGAGCCTTCCGATATCCTCGACATTCCTTCCGGTAGCTGATGCTGTATTTGAGAATGATGGAGCAAACCGTCGTGTGGGTGCAATCTCGGCGGTGGCAGCCCCAGCGGATCCGGCAATCTGCAATTGGCAAATGCGGTTCCGCGTTAGCATTCTCTTAGAAACGTTATTTTCCATCGCGGCTCTCACGAAGAGTTCTCGTTGATGAGAAATTTGTTACGTTCGTACGTATCGTCGATTGTTGCCGGCCGTCATTGACGGCTGAGATCGTTATTCAGACGTTTCAGAGTAACTGTATAATATTACGAAACGATCTAAGATGATCGATGATTGGCAAATGTAAATATAAATGCAAGTAGATGTGGAAACCTCCATATTCTTGTACGATGGAATTAAAATTTCATAAAATAAATTATAGTAATGAAATAATTTCGTTCTGGAAATTAGTTTGTTCGTTACATATATATTTGAGGATGGTACTTCGTATTCTTAATACGAAATATATAAAATAAAAATTTATTCGAAATTTAACTTGTTCAATTTAAATTTTGTACATTGCACGCGTAAATTTATAAAAAAAAAAAAAAAAAAAGAAGAAACTACGAGGAAACATGAAATACACTTGAATTGTGAAGATTCATGAATATACTTCTTCGCGTTTAACATATTCGTTCACTGTCAAATATTTCACAATTTTTAGCGAGAAGGTGGGATGCAAGTTCGATCGAAATTAAATTAAACGACCAATCGTCAAAGAAACTATTTTTTCACGCTGCGAAGTGAATTTCTGAACGAGGTTGATTGCCATCAGTACGAGATATCTATCTATCAAACGTCGATTAACGAGAGGGTACGCGATTAACGATTGGTTTTTAAATGCTACTCACCTCGATCCGAGATCACCTCTGGGTCCCACAGCTTGGAACGGGCTTGTTTCCGTCAGCCTGAAGATTCCGCCGCCCGAGATGTTCGGGTGATTGTGTTGCGGGCTGTGCGGTCCAAATCGGAAACCAGCGGGCGGGAATTTGAAGGCCGTCGCGTGGTTGAATCGAAACTGCGATTGCGACGGATCGAAGCGGAAATTTAAGGACGGCGGGGGCAGAGGGCCAAGGGGCCCGAGAGGAACAGGAGGTTGATGAGTTGGCGGTGGCGAGGAACTCGGTGACGCAGGAGACGTTCCACCGAGCGAGATATCGGAATCCTCCGTATCGCTGCCACCTGGCCCGGGACTCAGAGCGCGTCGTGCATTCCCGTTTCCTGTACCAGATTGCTGCTGCATTCTGAAACACAACGTAATCACAGGTCACTAAAGAAGACTGTACGTTAAACGTTCGATCTAGACGGTCTGTCACAAAATGTATTTCTATTCGTTTTCATTTACTGGTTAATCAGTTCTTTGTCGAAACGTTTCGTGTATTAGGTCTGTAATAGGATTTTGTGATTTCGAACGAACTCAAGGTGCATCAATTGATGCAATAAAGAAATATATGATTCCATTTAAGAAAAACATTTAATGACCTTCGTATGTCTTCTACACGTTCACCTACAACAAGAAAACTATCATCAAACTGTGCCCCTCTCGAAACTATTCATCTGAAACATTTTTCGCTACGCGTAATAATAATGACGTAAACATGGATGGCAATATTTGGTGACCCACCCTGTATAGGACAATTGAAATTAAAGATTAATAGAATATTGCATTGCTACTACATTATAATCTGACACACGATTTTGTAGAAATATCTAACGTCGTGTATTAGATTATAATTCTTTAATTTCAACTGTCCTATACAGGGTGGGTCACCACATATTGCCATCTAGATTTACGTCATTATTATTACGCGTAGCGAAAAATGTTTCAGATGAATGGTTTCGAGAGGGGCACAGTTTAATGATGGGTTTTCTTGTTGTACGTGGACGTGTAGAAGGCATATGAAGGTCATTAACGTTTTCTTAAATGGAATCATATATTTTTTTAT